TGTGTGTATCTAAGGTCTGTGAAGGCCGCCGTGAAGTGTTTGACGCGTTTGGTTTAGCGCATCACTATGTGTCTTTTAATACAGCTTATTGGTTATTCACATCCTATTAAATGCCTGCTTTTAGAAACTCAAAATCGAGTTATTCCGGACACCCTTGTCTTAAATTTCATCACAGCTCTCCTTCACAGCATCTCGAGAACGCGAGCTTGAAATTTCCTTTCTTTTAAATTCAGGAAAAAAGTTGTTTCTTGGGAAAACTAACCGTTATTTCGGTGGAAATGTCTCACAAATCACGAGCGTCCAGTGCGTAATAACAATCGTATTCACCTAAAATTTTTAAACGCAATTTTTACTAGTGTCGAGACATCTGGTTTAGTTTTGTCTGAAAATTCTGCTATATCTGTGTCAGCCTTTTACTACACGTGTTTTTTTTTTAGTTCGTTCCCTTTGACAGATTAAGAAAACGGAAGTGCTTTTCCTTCCCAAGGTTTGACGAGGAATATGGTTTACAGAGGTGCTCTTTCTTCGCCTGTTCTCAAAAACAAGCGAAGGAATTTACAGTGACTCAAGTGTACAATCGCTATGACAAAGAAATTGATTCTGATCGACGACGGGAGCATTCCTGGACGGAATTGAATCCAATCTTAGTCTACCGCACAAACAGATTTTCTTAATCTTGCTTCAAAGACCTTTTTTGTTTAAATCAGACCACTATACAGCTTGACGAAAAGTGAATCTTATCTCAGTTACACTACGCTGAGACACAATCTTGGGCATGTTTTTTTTTTCCTTTACAGGGAACTATAACTGTAGAAGACATAAAACATACGCTCAGCTGAGGGCAGCTGTCGTGTCTTTAAGCTGTTAAGAGTCACCCAGTAAGCTGTTTGTTTTTCCTATTTCCCGATGCGTGACTGGAGCCTCCGATGACAAAAGTCCTGCGTTTTAGCCAAGCTTCCTCGTGAGTCCTACTCGGAGGTTGACACGTAATACTGATCCAAAATTTCGCTTTAAAAACATTTCTGTCGTCTTTCTCTTCGATCAGAGCGTCTCGATACAAGCCAAGTTTTCTTCGCCTTATCTATCAGCATGATCAAGCTTGCCTAACACGCGTGTTACCGATTAGCTCTGACTGGTTTATTTAGATTACTGGGAATTTACGTCTGGGATGAAAATTTAGCAGCTTTTTCGGCTGTCGCCACGTTCACGCCTCCAGTGTCAGACACATTAGAGGTCAGGCGATGTGCTTCATTAATGGTTTATGGACAAAGGACCGCTTTTATAGAAACTTGGAGCCGAAACAAACTCCCGAGTGGTTTCTTGCGGTTTGTTTAGTTAGAGTCAGAGAACTAGTGGGGCAGTGAAATTTCCTGCACCTAAATGAGGTCTTGAACTTTTGACAGGACATAATTTATGAACGTGGTATGACAAAACTGCTCCGGAATGACGTGACACACGCAGCTCATTCTTAAAGCAAATACAACTCCTTTGGAGGAGGGAGAGAGTGCAATTCTCACTTAGGCACCTTACTCTCAAATTTAACTTTCCCCCGTCCCTTCCGGATCCCTCGCAGGCTGAAACTCCTTCGTAAATTGAATGCGTGAGAATACCGGTTTTATATTGTGAACAGACAAATAATTTGGGAAGGTTTTGTAAATAGTCACCAGATTGTTGCCCGTCAACAATTGCTGTAGTGAGGGAGTCCGAGTCGTTAAGCGGTGCTCGAGCATTTTATAGATAAGTAACGTTTTTGGTATAAGCTAAAGCATTGAGAGATAATGCAGTATCAAGGAAAGGAAGGTACACTTGTAGTTCGTGTCCGTTTTGTCTTTAGTGATCAGATCAGACAACAATCAGACAGGAATCATAACTGCGTTCTTGAGCGGAAATTTGTCGAAAGACCCGCAAAACAAGATTTTAAGACGGCCTACAAGTCGGCTGACTTTTTTCAATGCATCCATAGAAACCAGAATATCTCGTGACATCACTTTTATGTAATTTCACTTCATTTCACTTTGGCATGATTTTGGACGCGAAGGGATTTTCCGCTTTGTTTGACAGTGAATTTTTGAAAAGATCGTTCAATAATTCTTCCCAATCTCTCAGCTGTTCTTAGTCATCAAGACGAGCAAATTTTATATACTTTCTTTTTGGAAATAAAATGTGTTAGTTTATATTTATTCTCTATTTTCCTATGTATTACAACCTTGAATTTAATTCTTCTTTGTAACTACTTCAAAAAAATGTTTACTGATGTCGCAAAACAGTTCGTATTAAAAGTCAATGCTTGCTTACAGCATAAATGTTGGCTACTTTGGTCAAAGCAAATTCTGATCTAATCAGCCTGCAACTTATTCTCTATTGTACAATTTGTGCTTTAACCTATTTTTGTACATGGTCTTTGAATCTTACTAATAATCTTGAATATTTCCTGCAACTAATTCATCACAATTTTTACTCATGTCATAGAACGTGCAATTGTGTGTCATTGTTTTCACCATAGATATGTGCTACCTTTAGCTACCTTCTAGAAACACGTTAAAAAGGACTCCTAAACAGGACTATGATAGTAAATGACATACTAACAATACTTATCATAATCATAATTTTTGTTGAAATTTACTAAAAGTTTTGTCCCCCAGATTTCTGAGACCAGAGAATCAGGGCAACCATTGTTTTGTTTTTCAAAAGCACAGCTTTGCAAAATTAAATTTAAAATGACAACTTACAATTCAACACATTCAAAGGAAAATTAAATCTTAGGGCAGCAAGACATGGTCATGGATAGCTGGAAATATGGATAAAATATATTAGATGTCTGCTTACAGTTAATTGTTTAGTATTCCAAAAGTTAAAAGGGAAACGATTCATGCTATGCAAGAAAGAATGAATCCCTCTCTTGAGTTGTACTTTAGCAGGGATTGATTCCTAGATCTACTCAAATATCTAAATACATTTGTTAAAGATGTCAGGCACAACTATCCTACCATCACTCAAAACCGCTAAAGAGACAGGGGTACGCAAACATTCCTTCCCTTTTATTTCAAATTTGGTTCTTAACTTTCCACTTGGAATAACAAGTAGTTGTACTCTTTGATTCAGTTTATCATAGACCATCAGCTGTCCCACCTTGTCAATTGACAAGCCACGCAGGTCATTGAACTGCTTGTATGCTATTCCTTAACTGCCAAACCTATTCAGAAATGTCCCCTACATGCAATGGTCATCCCTGTCTGACATATGCAACAACAAGTCATGATTTTAAGAGCAATCATCTGCAAAACCCTTTTGTGGGTAGGTGCAGCAATTTTTGGAAGAGTAACAAACAATTATCTGATGTAAATCCAAATCAACAAGCTAAGGAAATCGATTGATGCTAGGCTACAGCCAGCAGAGGGAAGGGGGGGGGGGG